GTTCTGGACTATTTTGAAGGCTCTTATATAATAAGATAATAATTACAGAAACTCCCTATAATGCTCCTCTATGTATGCTTTTACAACGTTTTACCTAGTTTATATAAATGAAAAATCTCTCCTTAAGTGGATGAAGTGATGTTGGCAGACTAGTCACCAGCTCATGCCAAGGGGCTCTGTGTCTCAGTGGGACACTGACAGAAACAGAACTGGAATCTGCCTGGCTCATTTATGGGTTAATACAGTATTGATAGAATAGCACAGGGGGGCAGGGGGAAGCTGAGCATCCCCAAACAGTCTGGGGGAGGTCCACAATAGGCTAGTGTACTTCCTGCATTGCCTCCTTAGTGCTTTGGGGCCTGGAGCCCTAGGGCTATGGGCGCAGTGGCCGCGCCAGCTAGGAGCTGTGGGCGCTGAAGATGCAGCACACCAGGGCTGGCACCTTGCCTCCCTGCCCTGCTTTGGGCTCCTGCAGGGATTAGATGGGTAGAAGATGGGGGCACAAGGGGAGGGCCCAGGGGCTAGCCTCCCCAGGTGGCTGGGTCACTGGCTGTCCATGGGTCTTGGCTCTACCCTCTCTTGTTGGCCAGGGCAGCAGAAGTAGTGAGAGGGAGGGAGGGATTTACTGCTGGGTTTAGCAGGGTAGCAAGGAATAGCTGCATGGACAAGTCTTTGATGTCTTCCATAGCTACTCCGGGAGTGAAGTAGGCTAAGTACTATCCCTTGTTCAGGCAGCATAATACTGTTAGGGCACGTCTACACAGCAGAGCTAAACTCGAAATAAGTTATGCAACTTGAGCTACACTAATTGTGTAGCTTAAGTCAAAATAGCTTATTGCAACTTTTGGCACTGTCTACACAGCAGTTATTTCGAAATAGAGCATTCCTCCCTCAATTTCCCTTTCTCCTCATACAATTAGAGTTACAAGAGTCGGAGTAGCAGTCCTCCAGTTTGACATTATTTCGACATTATGTTGAAACGATTGCTTGAGTGTAGACGCAGACTATGTTATTTCAGAATAACATCAGTTATTCCGAAATAACCCTTCCGAGTAGACATAGCCTTAGTGACCATGCAGAGACTTGTCAACAGGTATTCAGGGACCCTGCGTGTTTGACAATCATCTGTGAATGCTCTTAAACTTTAGTTTCTTTTAAGGACTAATTTAGGATGCCAAATGATTCCTAAGGTGGTGTCTTTACTAAACACAAACGCAATACAGGCAGTCCCCGGGTTACATGGGGTGAGGCAACCCCGCACTAGCTGCTTCCCCCCAGCAGACCAGGGAGACGCGAAGCTAGTGTCCCCCCCGCCCAGCAGACCAGGGAGAGGTGGAGCGGCTTTTCTCAGCAGACACTTCAGCTTGAGAATAAAGGGCTGAGGGAAGTGAGGTGTGGGAGAATAAAACTGAGCTCTGGAGAAATGTTTGGCTAGAGTTTCCCCTACAATATGTACCAGTTCCGACTTACATACAAATTCAACTTAAGAACAAACCTACAGTCCCTATCTTGTACGTAACCCGGGGACTGCCTGTATATAATGAAGAATGTTTAGTTCTCTTGTTTGAGAGCTGCAAATATGTAAAATTCCAGTGAATAAATTTCCTCTTCAAATATGATCCATTTAATGCAGGAAGTTACTGCTCAGGCAAAGGCCCACTGGGCTACAGAAGATTATGATAAGGTATATGGGACATTTTGCTGCCTATATAAATGGAAAACGATGTTTATAAACTTTCAGGGCCATAGATGAGTATTTATTTTCCAAATTATTGGTGCTTCAAACTGATCATGAAGCTAGCCTGCCTCTTTTTAAAAAAAAAAACCAAAGCTGCCACTGAAGGAGTTACTGGGTGAAATTCTATGGCTTGTGTAATGCAGGAAATCAAAGTAGATGATCATAATGACCTCTCTTCAGTCTTGAAAATCTGTTAATCTGTGTCTTGTATTATAGTTGGTCCCAGGATAATTATTTAAATTTTAAAATAAATATTCCTTAAATATGACTGGAAGAAGTGAGAAAAGTGTTTGTACCCTCTTATTTTCAGGGGGATTGAGGCCTTGTCTTCCTTGTTTTAGCTGGAGGGTTCAGTAATGGTGGTCATGCTGGAAATGGTTCTTCCATTTTGAAAGGTTCTAACAGTGTGAAGGTATTTTCTGTACTTTAAATGAGGAATATCATGGGACCCAGGAACATTTCTTCAAACGGGAAACTTTTGCAGTGTAACCACTGTATGTGTCTTGTGAGCTTTTCAGCCCTTCTTGAAGGGGCAGGATGTTAAATTTTTCTTTTGACTATTTCTCAGGTAGTTAAATTGGTTAACAAAAGGCAAACAAAAACAACATGTTGTACAATCTGAATAAAAATAACTTCTCTTCTGAATGAATTAGGTTATATAGTACTTATGTGATATCTTTGATGTCATCATCCTGTCAAATTAATCCAGGGAAAATAGAGTAGATGGAACAGGCTCTATTGCTCCGACAGCGAGTAGACGGGTAACTTCTTGCCTGAGCAAGAGCTCGTGAGATGGGTCCCTGAAAAGGGACAGGGCAGGGGGGGATGGGCGGGGTAGCGACGTGAATGGGATGGTGAAATGTCTGAAGGACCCATTTGTCGGTGGTGATGTAGGCCCATCGATGGAGGTACGGCCTCAGACGGTGGTGAAATATCGCCTTCGTAGCACTCAGAATGGTAATGATGGGAATGGTTCTCAACCCCTCGAGTGACGCGTAAAACTTGCTGTCTGGTACCCTGTTGGGAAGTTGTTTTGGGCGGCGGGCGGCGCCGCTGTTGCCGCTGTCTACCTCTTTGTTGGTCTCGAGGCCTATACTGAGGAGATTGTCGTAGGGAGGGCCTCTGCCTTTGGTAGGGGGTATATCGTTTTCTACGATATGGAGGAGTGTACATGCCCAGTGTTTTTAAAGTGGTTCTGGAGTCCTTCCCCGAGTGCAGAAGTTGGTCAGTCTTATCAGAAAAGAGATTCTGCCTGTCAAAGGGTAGGTCCTCGACCTTCGAGAAGAGGTCTTTGGGAGCAGAGGACTGTTGCAGCCAGGATGCTCTGCGCATAACGACCGATGTAGCAGTCGTGCGCGCTGCAGCGTCAGCTGTATCCAGGGCAATATGTAAGGCCGTTCCACAGGCCGTGTAGCCCTCTTGTATTACAGCCTTTAAAATGTCTCGTTTCGCCTCTGGAAGATGTTGAAGCAGTGGTACAAGCTTGGCGTAGTTGTCGAAGTTGTGATTCGCCAACAATGCGGAATAATTGGCCATTCGTAAAGTGAGTGTTGCCGAGGAGTAAACTTTACGTCCGAATAAATCGAGACGCTTACTGTCTCTGTCTGCGGCAGTAGGTTTGTGTTGCGGCATCTTTGCCTTTTGCTGTACTGCATCCACAACCAAGGAGTTAGGCTGTGGATGGGTAAAGAGAAATTCCATCCCCTTAGCGGGGATGAAATACTTTTTATCCGCCTTCTTATTCGTCGGCGGGGCGGATGCCGGCAGCTGCCAAATATCGTCCGCAATTTCAAGAATGGCCATGTCCAGTGGCAACGAAATCTTGGGCTGGTGAGTGTGTTTGATATTATGGAGGAGATGGTGTTGTTTTTGTTCCACGTCCCCCAGCTGCACGTTTTGACTATCTGCCACTCTCTTAAACAGCTCCTGAAACTGGCGTAGGTCGTCCGATGGTGAGGTGTCTCCTTGAAAAACTGCATCGTCTGGTGACGATGAAGAATGACGCGTGGGTGATTGATCAAGTTCGGGATCCCGAACAGGAAGAGGTTGTCCGGTGTGAGAAGGAGACCCAGAGGGAGTTGGTGGCCTTGAAGGGGCAGGGGGAGCGTGGTGCTTTTGAACGAGAGAGGATTGAGGGGACCGGTGCTGATGAGAGGATGACCTACGGTGATAGTAGGGCGACGTGGAACGACGGGATCTCCTGGAATATCCCGAATGGGTTGAAAACGCGGGCGATCTTGGTGATCGTGACCTTCCTCTGTAATATGTGCTGCGATTGGGCGAACGACGATCATGGTGGTAGGAATGACCGGATCGTGGCAAGATTTGGCCAGTACGAGAGTATTCAGAGTACGCCGGAGATGGTGAACGTACTTCAGGAGAGAACGCAGGACTTGGTGAGAAAGAAGATAATCTCCTAGATGTATGGGCAGGTGGTGCCAGCAACTGTTCCGGTGCAGAGGAAGGTGGAGTGGAAAGCACAGAGTGAGGAATTATCTCCACTGGTATTGGAGAAGCCCGTGCCGAGGTGGTCCGCGTCGCCACAGTTCATTCTCTGGGCACCAACGATTGTCTCAGTTCCGGGGATTGTCTCAAAGGAGAAGGCCGCCGCGGTGCCGGTGGACGTCCTTCTAAGGGAAGTCTGTGATGTGACGATCCTTCCGGTGCCGAAGGATGGCTCGGTGCCGGTATGCTTGATGACGGGGAACTCTCAGGTGCCGATGAACGTTTAAGCTTTTGTTGCTTCATGGGCGGCGATGATCGATTCGGTGCCGACCATGTAGAAGGAGGATGTTCAGGAGTTACCGAGCGTCGCCTTGTCGAAGGTTTCGGTGTTTGTTTTGGTGATCGTCTAGAATGAGCCGGTGCTGAAGTACGCTCCTGCACTGAGGAATGGCTCGGCTCCGCAGGCAGCTTGGACATGCGTCTCTGCGCCGGGGAGCATCTCGGTGCCGGGGAGCGGCTGCGTGCCGGGGAGCGTCTCGGTGTCGGGGGGCGGCTGGGGGCTGGGGCGGGGCCTGGGCGCGCGTGGCGGGGGGA